GTGTTTTCCCCGCTGCAACCCTCAAAGTCATGGCCACAGGTAAGTACCGGCCCTGCGGGGCCTTTCAACCAACAAGTGCCCTTGCGGGTCACACACACACTCGGCCAACAAGCACTCAGACAGGAACGCAAACCAGCAGGCACGCACACACACAGACTTAGAAATCACAGGAGAATGCGGGAATCTCAGCAAGGCATTCATTCCACGGTAAATCCCAGAAATCAGCAGTGTTCTCGGTCTGTGTTTTGGCGGGTCATTACAATTTATAAAAAAAACGAATTACCGCAAAGAAAAAATATTCCAAAATTCAAAAAAAAAATTGGATTTGTCAAGCAGCGAATTTTTGAAAATCACAACAAAAGAAAATCGAGAATTTCAGCTACTGCGCAATTTTGGAATTTACTAAAAACGAATTTGCGCTAAAGAAAGATGTCCATAAAGAAAACAATTCGGAATTGGCAGTTAGGCAGGCTTGCATCCCTGCCGACCGCAGACCGTATTGCAGCCGACCAGTTGGGCCGACCGGTTGGCTGTCTGCCGAATAGAAAAAAAAAAAAAAAAAAAAAAGAGAACAACATCCACTGATTTTTTTTGAAATCTTAGTTGGGGGCTGTACTGCACTTTCTGAGTACAGCCCAGATCCGCTGAGAAACTTTGGGAATGGGGGGTGGTAATGGGGGGATTGGGGTTAGGGGGGTATAGGGGTGATACAGGGGGTGTTGGGGGGGGCTGATGAGTGTGTTGGGGCCGGTTTGGGGGGGTGTATGTGGGTATTAGGGGCTGCTATGGGGGTGTTGGTGGTGTTATTAGGGGTTCTGGACCCCCCCCCAAAAAACACGTTTTTTGTTTTTTTGGCGGGGTGCCGATGACCCCCGGCCGGTAGGTGCTGACCCGCCGATACCGGCCGATTGGTCGACGGGTCGGCAGCCGACCAGTCTAGGGCTGCCGACCATCGGGGGGTGCAACCCTGCAGTTAGGTGGAAAAACATGAATTGGTACTAATTAGTTTAACGGGGGCAGTTTAACCTAATCACCTAATCAATCAATCGATCTATCACGACTAATCAATCAACCAGTCCATTAATCAATCGATCAATAGATCAATCGATCCATCGATCCATCGATCCATCGATCCATCGATCGATCAATCAATCAATCAATCAATCGATCAATCAATCAATCAATCGATCGATCAATCGTTCCCAATCGCATGTTGGTCAGGTTAGCCCTGATTCACGAGTGGGGCTTCGATATCAACTGATACATGCTCAGTTGAGCGATGTATATGGAGCCAAGGATCCGCAAAGTGATGATAAGGACTTAAATGGACAACGCAGTGTCACCAAAGCATCAACAAGCAATGCACATCCAGATACATATGAAAATAGCATAATGTAGCGCAACAGAAGACTCAAAGATATGACCTGACCTATCAGAGATGGACGCGACATCCCATCATACACCACACATGTGAGAGAGGGAGGAGGGACGGCTTACATGGAAGAAATGTCCCTCCTTGCACGCGCACATGGGGGAGATATCACGGATGAAGAGATGGGAGAGAGGCGAGACGAAAATGGAGGTGAGGGGGAAGACAAAGATATGATAGCGGAGTCCAAAAATAGTCCCCCTGCCGAATGTCCAATCAATGTCTGCCCGATTCTGCTGTATAAATGTCGAATCAGATCCTGGGCCTTATGCCCGATGTAACCTCTGCCTGTAACCTCTCTGTCTCTGTCTCTCTCTCTGAAGAAGGATGAGGAGGGAGGAAGAGAGATGGAGGGCGAGAGAAGAAGAAGAAGAAGAAGAAGATGTCGTCCTCCTCGCTATGTCACCTGCAGGTAATTGCCGCCATGTACTAACTGCCGTTGCGTGTATCCTCTGTGCTGCAGGTGCGCTTGCACGAAGACCAGCTATGGCACCCAGGTAGGATCCCTCCGATGCAGGTATGGCCTCCGCCTCACTCCCTACCTACACCTCTACCTCTAACTCCTGCGCAGCGCTGTAGCGCTGCTCCAGCAGCGTGTCGCTCAAGAAGTGAGCTGCTTGAAGTGTCTGTCTGCCCAGGCGTGGCCTAGCTATAAGTAGTGCTGGGCCTCGCGGGTGTGCCTCCGTGTGCCTCTGGTCTTCGGCTTAAACGTGGCCTACTGGGTCCTAGGTCGCGAACGGACGTCCAGACCCTCCCTGCTGATGCAGGAAGGATGTCCGCTACTGGACGAAAACGGACCTGGCCTAACAGGGCCTGCCTATGTCCGTACCAGGTCAAAACGCGGCCTTGTCCGAACAGACTTTCGGTCTGTTTGGACGAACTGCAAGGCCGAAATGATGCCTGAACAGACAAAGATAGGACAGCAAATAAATAATAAATAAATAAATAAATAAATAAATAAATAAATAAATAAATAAATAAATAAATGAATAAATAGATGAATGCTGCCTCAAATCGAAACCTGCGGCCTTAAGGCCGGCCGTGGGCCTCCAGGGTGTGCGTTTGAGGTGTGTGCGGCCTGGGGGACCCCAGCAACCGTCTGGCCCCCGAATGGGGCCCGTGTGCAGGCTCAGCATGTAACAATAGGCCTATCTGACAGACCCCAGGACGGAGCCTGAGATCTGACAGTCGATCCTCCTACAGCGGAGCAATAAATGCTGGCCAGGGGTCCTTCGGCCATACTGAAGGAAGCGTGAGTGTGTACTATGTTGTATTCAATTTTGACTTGCCCGGGGAATAGGAACCGGACGGACGCTCCTCAGAAAGGAAAAGGAGCTAGGACCATAAGGACCTGTTTTTATTGTTAAAAGAAACAAAAAAACAAAAATTAAATCAATTCTAGTTTGATGCCATCTCTCACCAACTCAATCAGCAGCACAAAATTCCCAGGATCCCAACCACGTTACAGCACCCACAAACCAAGTAAGAAGAGGTTTCATGGAGTTTCAGGGGAACCTTCTTAGTCCCTCGACACCAAGCTCCAGCTATGGCGCATCTACGCGCCCAACCCGTCCACTGCGTCCAGCCTGCAAATCGTCACCCCCCCCCCGGACCTGGACATGCCACTCTGCACCTCGCACACTGCAGATGAAGTGTGTGCTCAGCAAGGGAGCGCAGCTCCCAGGATGAAGAAGAAGAATAGCAACTCGATGAAGGAGAAGACCTGCCGCTACAAAGAAGACCTGAAGAGCAGCTGCTTCACAGGCAGCCATTCACCCCACCAGGTACAAAATCGATGGAAGCGCCTAGCAGCGCTCAAGGGCTACTGCCTGGCGCTGTGACCTCCTATGCTGGCTGTTTCAGCTATGGCCGCGAGCCATCACGAGGAAGATGACCTGTGCTACCAAAATAGTGCTGCAACCCATGCAACCTCCACCAACTCACTTCGTCAAAAAAAAAAGGATGACGAACCAAGAACCCATACCGCGATGCCCGCCAGACTTTTGTCAGCTTGACCTACACTGACCCGATGAGCTACCACCTATGCGGGCCCAACAGCCTGGGACAGACTTAGGCAGACCCAATTGGTAGTCAAACAATAACAGAAGGGTCCCAATAGGGTCCAGGTCCAGGGAGTAAGCCCCGGAACAGTCAGAGCTACACAGAGTTAGCGAACTAACTAAATGGTATACAGCCCACCGGTGAAACACTGCAATTCATTGCAGGCACCTGGTCCTAAGGTGTCTCCCACCAATATCGATTCAAGAAAGAAAAAGGAGGATGGTCTGCTGGCAGAATTGAAAAGCCACGCTGGATTTATCTGATCGGTGGAGTCCCACAAGGGGTTGGGGCACATCATCCACCCACTACTCGGCGGTGCACATTGTCCTCGAGGCTCAAGCTATTGACGCTGGAAGAATTGAATAGCTGGATGTATCTACATTGTCCTCGAGGCTCAAGCTATTGACGCTGGAAGAATTGAATAGCTGGATGTATCTTATCAATGGGTTTGTGGCACATCATCCACCCATTACAAGCTAATAGACACCTGCTGCATTGCCTCCCTAGAAAGTCTACCTTGGGCGAAGAACGAGGTAGGTGAAGATGTTGGCACATATGTGGTAAGGGCAGTAGTTAAGACCCTGATTGACCCATGGATCCCAAAGACCTCCGTATCTAGCAGCCTAGAACGTCTACACAGGAGGAAACTGCTGCCTTTTGGTGGTAAGCCAAGGTAAATAATGGACCATTGTGACCGCCATCCTGGTCCTAAATACAGTACTCTTGAGTGTGCCGAGCAGTCCTTGGTCAAGCAAGCATGTGCTGCAAAATGTTGGGAGACCCCGATGCTCCTGCTACCCCTATTTAGATGTGTAGTGTCTTCTTCTTGCTTGAATCCCCAAATTCACGTCTGACTCATCTGCTTGCCGGTGGGTGGGGTCCCATACACTCCAGCTAAAGGCTGGGTATCTTCGTGGAATGAGCTCGTGCCAACCATACAAGAGCAGGATTCATATGGGCCACAGCCAAGGAGCACCATATGTGTCTGATCGCTGCAGCTAAGCCATGGTTCTTCATATGTATTAATGGGGCATCTGCATAGAATATGTATGTCATTTGCTCTCTGTTTGTCCATGTGTGTGTTTTGTGTCATTTGGTGACTCCTCTCCTAAGGGAAATGTTGCTTGTCGTTGCTAAAGTAAGCGAAAGGATTGGAGGAAATTAAGGAAAGCCTCAACAAAGGGAATAAATGTTTCAAGACCACTGTGGTCCATGATCCTGATCATCTTCGCACGGAAAAGTTTTCATTGACGATCTGCATCACCTAATCTCCTTTGATCTGTGTTCCTCAGCGTCATGATGTGCATTCTAGTGAAGGGGGAATACCGAAATGATATGTGTTAGTTGTAATAGGAACCAATTCTACAAGCTGAACACTGATCGTGCTGGGTGTCCAGGTCTGTGAACTGGTCAGGAAGCAGAAGTTTAAAGAACCTCTTGCGCATTGCACTAATAACCGGTTTCTCTTACTTTTGTTGATGGTGTTCGACCCGATTGTGCTTGTCTGCAGCTCCGGAGTGTCCGCACACTTTGGCTTCCTGTCGCTGAAAATGAGAACTACCTGTTGCTGGAGGTGCCTACTATCCAGACCCTCTTATCTTTTGCTCATTGTGCTGGAAACATGTTTGTTGCAGTGTTTTGTTTTTAAGAATAACCTGTGGAGGCGGATAAGTTTTATACAGATAAGTGCCCCGTGGCATGGTCCTTAGATGGACCATCCACACATATGCAGATGTGGTCTCGAGTCCGTCAGTCACGTTTGTGCTGATGCATATGTACATGGATTAGTTTTGGGGGCTAGATACTGCTGTGTTAGGTATTGAGCACGTACATACTTTGCTGCACACGTACGAACACCACCACTACATGTTGTGCTTGTCAGTACAGTTTCCACTCTGTGGTGCAACTCTGATTCATGTGTTCTATGTGGAGAAGACGATAAAAGCTACCGAACTTTTGGGCAAGAATGAGAAAAAACACTTGCAATCTTTGTCAATTCACCAAATACGATCTCCCATCCTAAATTGCTGGAAATATGTATTTCTTTTGCATGTGTTTCCCAAAATGAATTTTGACCACAAATATAAATAAAAAAAATAAAAAATGAATTTTGATAAGGTGTACACGTGTTTTTTTTTTAATGATGTGACCATAAGCAATTGTGTGTGTGTGTGTGTGTGTGTGTGTGAGAGAGAGAGAGAGAGAGAGAGAGAGAGAGAGAGAGAGAGGCTGTGGCTATTAAAACTCGCACAGGGTTTGGGAGGTGTTTGTTTCAGTGCTAAGACTCTTAACCAAAGCCAATCACCGTCCCACCTGATTTACCTTGCAGGACGAGGAGACTGGCGATGTTCTACTGCCTCTGATTTACATGAAGAGTGTCTTCGAAGCCAACTACAGGTGAGGATTGAATGAATATCTCAGGGCATACTCAAACGTACAGTACTTGGACTTACATGTATCAAGTGTGAAAAATGGCCAGATCCGTTTGAAGAATATCTAACAAGAGTATGCTCTCAGATCATAAATTGGTGAAGAAGGTGTTCGTACAACTTTTGTTTTATATTATACAAGTGAACCCACTGCAGCGCCAGCGAGGGTTGTCGCTCGGCGCAACCGGACCAAAATTCGCAAACTGAATTTTTTGTCAAAGGGATTATGAAATTTCCGATCACAACAGAAAAGCAAAATGTGCAATTGTTGATGACAACAGAAAAGCAAATATGTTCAGAGGGGAGAAATACAATCAGACTTGTCTCGATTTTACTTCCAACATGCATACATGCAGGTGCCGATGGCAAAACAACTTCCTCAAGTAGAATCAGCAACAAGCGTGAGATGGCGCAGTGCGCCCACACAGAAAACTCAGAGATGTGGCCTTCGGCCAGGAACGCGGCTCAAGTCAACTTGTCAGATCTTGCGGCTATGGTGTCTGAGCGCCTGAAACTCCCACCCGAACACTGTATCCACCATCAGACACACTCTCACTCACTCACGCACACGTAGACACGCACTAGGATCTACTGTTACGAACTCAGCCAGGGCTCCATCCCTGGTCTGCGGGTTACCACCTGCCAGGCTGCTATTTCATTTCTGAGTCTCTAATCTCCGGTCCCTGACTGTTAGCGCCCTCTGCAATTGGCGCCCGTTCTCAAGTCCCTCGTCTGGGACTTTCGGATTTCGATACTTGGCACCATCCAGCATTCTGGCGCCCAGGCTCAGACCTTCGATTGCGAGTTCAACCCTGAGGCAAGTTGCACTTCTGCTCTCGCGACTCAACTTGAGTCCAGTACTTAAGACCGGACTCGAGCTGAGTTCGGGCATGCAGTTTTCGGCCTCAGTGCTTGTGCTTCAGTGTGACTTGCTGCGACATTGTGTTGAGAACCCAAGATTGCGACTTTGCGACGTTGCCACGTTGTGTCTGCGTCCGTCGAGTTGTGTCGATTCTGCGCCGAGTTGAGTGAGTGTGTGTGTGTACTCTCACCCTCCCTCTCTCCCCCAGCCTCGCTGCTCTGCCTTTGCCTCATCTCACTGGTATAGGCGCGGCAAACGTCCCTCCCTCCCTCCGTGTTCCGGCGCTGCCATGTCATCGACATCGTCACCATCATCATCGTCTCCAGCGCCGCCACGTCATCGCTCGTTATCATCTTCGTCGTCATCATCACTGCCACGTGAGCGCCTCGTACCTGCCGTCATCGCTCCATGTCAGCAACTCCTCGTCCTTCTTGTCGCTGTCACGTCATCCATCTCGAAGCCAACGTGCGGGTAAGTGACCGACATATTTTTATTTTTGTCCTCTGCCTTTCTCTGCTTTTCTCTTCTTTCCTCCTGTCTTCCTCCTCCTCTTCTTCTTTCGATGATTCTCATTCTCCCCCTCCCCCCC